CTAAACAAATGAATAAAATAATTTAAAACAACCTACCAAATAAAAACAACCCTCCAAAGGCACACAGTGCTCTCCTTGCTGGTCCTTCCTTTTCCACGCCCTCTTCTCCACCCTAACATTCCCATCATACAGAGTTGAGGGTGAAGAAAAAGGGAAGAAATCATCTACATCGTTCAATATCAAGTCCTCTACGAAAGACTGAGACCGTCTCAGACGAGGGCTGCATCCGCAGAAGAGCACCCATGATCCCAAGGGAGAACCCTCCGCAACTGGACTCAACTCCAGCTCAGGACACTGTCAGAAACCAGCCGACCTGTTCAAATGTGGAGGTGGAGTTCGTCCTGAAAGGTGGAGTAAGGATTGAGGAAAGAAATAGACAAGAGACAGAAGACAGAGTTGGGAGGGCGTCCAGTGAATACTGTATCCGCCCAAATTTATTTCTCATAGCTAGTATATACCCCAAGCCAAAGGGGAGGGCACAAACGAGTGTTAGCTAATTTCTTAATCCTCAGAACAGCTGATAACCACACCCTAAATCAAACATCCTGTAATCTGGCCTTGAGGATCAAGAATAGGTTTGAACTCTCTAACCTTAAGTAAGAAGGAACCGAGTCAAATCTGTGGGCTCCCACAACACTGTGGATGGATGGACAGAGTCTTGACACAGCCACCTAGTGCCTCAGTCACACTTGGGGACCCTGTCCAAACTCGTGTGAACCCGGAGTTTGGAAGCTCTAGTTAGTGTCTCTGCTGTGGCCTATTTAAGGCATCCCAGAAGCACTAGGGAATGACGCTATTAGATTTCACAGGGCAAAGTTTCCCCCGCCACACCACCAGACACCAGATACCAATGACCACACTCGGAGAGGGAAATTATGGTTGTCCTGCAAGTAGAGACAGGTGGGTATCCAAATTAGTAATTAGAAAAGTAAATATTCCATTATCTGCTTTGAAATCATATCCTATGGTCACACGCTTAAAATTACATGGTTAATAATGACTTTCTTATGAGCAAATGCCTCAAGAAACTAATATGAGTTTATATAGCCCATTGCCATACATGAACTCCAAGGAATAACACAGCAAAGACACTAGAGGCATCATCCCAAGAACTAACTGCAAAGTGAGGCACACTGGCCTGGGAGAGAGAACAAGGATGGGACTCTTGTGTTTGGAAAAAGTTTTAAGAAGCATCTTTGGCTATGGATTCAAGGGTCACCCTGCTCGTCCACATTCCCGGGGCATAACCCAGTGAAAGAAGCTTTGATCAAGAAGTTAAAAGTTGCAGAGACAGGTCATGGGAATGTAGGAGTTGGCTTTTGGCGCAGACAGCAGGCACTGGAAGTCTGGACCAAGAGTTTAGCTTTGAAGTGTACACCTGTGCCAACGTGAACTTCCCACTGCAAAGGGCCAGACCAAACCAAGGCCTTGATCCTTCTTGTGTCAAATGTAGGTAGATTTCAAATATGATGCTGAATTCTCTCCATTAAAAAGTAAGGAAAGGGTGAGATGGCTCAGTGGTTAAGAGCACTGACTGCTCTTCCAGAGGACCCGGGTTCAATTCCCAGCAACCACATGGCAGCTCGCAGCTGTCTGTAACCCCTGTTCCAGAGAATCTGACATTGTTATATCAATGTACATGAAATAAAGTTAAATAAATTTAAAAAAGAAAAATAAGGAAAGGAGCTGAACATGATGGCCCACACCTTTAAGCCCAGCACTCCGAAGGCAGAGGCAGACAGATCTCTGTGAGTTCTAAGCCAGTCTAGTCTACAGAGTAAAACTCTCTCAAATAAATAAATAATAAACAAAAAAAAAAAAAAAAAGAAAGGAAGGAGAGAGGAAGGGAGGGAGGGAAGCATCTGAGAGGATGTACTGGAAAGTTCTTTTCTATTTCTGAGGAAGTTGTGTGAATCCACGAACCTCTACAAGCCTGGAGCCAGCTTTATTACTCAGGAATGTGCGTCTCGAGGACCTGGTAGATTTGCAGTATGCATGCAAAGGGAGACAGGGCCTCTGTGTCTAAGCTTTGTTTGAGGGGGTGAGATCCTACCTAACTCAGACAGGCACTTCCTTTGTTCTGTGAACTAGTCTCCTCTCAGAAAAACACAGGAGGAGATTGTTTTCTCATTAATCCATCTAGGCAGACACAGATGCTCACTCCAGTTCCCAAGCGGGTCTAGGATGTGCTGTGTATGACACAGGGCACCATCAAGTCCTCGTACCTGCGGCTTGGAGGAGGGGCTCGTCTGTTTTATTTAGAATTTGTTGTTTATTTATTTTAAACTTTGTTTTTATTTTATGTGCATGAGTATTTTGCTTACGTGAATATCTGTGTACCACGTGCATGCCTGGTGTCCACAGAAGCCAGAAGAGGGCATCAGATCCCCTAGGAGTAGAGTTGTAAATGATTATGAACCATCCTGGGGGTGATGGGAATCAAACCCAGGTACTCTGCAAGAACATCCAGTTCTTCCAACCTCTGAGCCATCTCTCAAGCACCTGTAACCCAGACCAGCCTGGAATTCCCTACGTAACATGAGCTGCCTTTGAAATGTTGACAGCCCTCCTGCCTTAGCCTTTCAGACACTGGCATTATGGTGGGGGGGGGTACCTGCCTTGGGGTTAGCTGTCATTTACTCTGGGGACTGCAGTGGGCTGTACCTGTATGACGTTCCTCTCGTCTTCGCTATTTCTTCACCTGTGATGTACATCACACTCCCGTTTAAGGCTCGCTCCGTAAAGAAAGTTGTCTTCTTCCTCTGCTACTGTTATGGAGAGGTTTCGAGGGTTGGGAGAAGATTTTAATATATATGCTCCCCGACTTGAGGCGTAGCTCAGTGGTAGAATGTCTGCGTAGCATACATAAGGTTCTAAGTTCAATGCTCAGCACTAGAAAAACAATTACAACTTGAACGTATCTTCCAAATCTACCACATTGCTTGAAAACCAGTGAAAAATGAAGGAAGGAGCAGGACTTGGGAAATGAGGATCCTAGCGGGAGGCGGGGCCAGTGGAGGAAGCAGTGGGTGTAAGAAATGGAAGGGACTTCCTGGAGGGATGCTGACGACCCATAGTGAACAACAATAAGTTAGGACGGAGGGCTGTGTGTCAAACATTGCGCTAAGTGTTTGAACATACTAACTCATCATGCTTCTGCAGCATCTCAGGTTCTCTCGCTCTGCCTGCCACCTCATAGCACACAGAAGCACCAGAAAACTGGTCCCAAGGTGCTAAAGAAGCAGTTTTGAATTAAGGAATCATTTAGTAGATGTGAACCAAACTCTCTGAGAAGGCAAAACGGGATCTATGAAAACGTCTGTGGAAGAGGACCACATCCTGTGGATATGAACCATGGGGAATGTACAGAGAATGTGACACCAAGACATTGAAAGAAGGGGGGCTGTCACTTGACAGACACCCACTCCAGAACACAGAACGTATAAACAGAAATGGGCCTAGATGGGGAACGGTAATCTACCCAAGGACCAGGCATGCTTTAAGGTCTGGAGGCTAGAACCCCTGCAGACTGTCCCTACCAACAATCAGCATGCCAGGTCCAGGAAACGGATCTGCCTGGCCCTAGCCTATCCCAAGCCACCAAACTATAGCAAAGAATCCCTAGCAGCATCCTTCTAAGTTCATGGCTTTCTGAGACCCAAGACCAGGACATAGCTTGGGAAGAAAATCCAACCTGCCATCCACTGAAGAAGTCTCACTTTCCTCACCTGAGAGGAATAAATTCACGGGACCCACCCATACCTGCTGGATGCCAGGCTGTGGTTCTTGGGTGCCTGTCCTTTTCTGCACCCACTGTCTGGATGTAGACATTAGTTGTCTCTGGTCTCCCTTGAGATGTCTGGCCCGTGATATCTGGCATATTTGAAATGTTAAAGTCTTGATTGATATTCAGGTGAGTGGGGGAGAAGCTGAGGGTGGGGGAAGAAGGGAGGGGTGGGATTTTAAGTCTGGAAATGCTGTCTTTTCAGGCTCAAGGCAGCCTGGGGATCCCTGGGGATTTATTGAAGGGCAGATTTCAAAAGCAGTAGAAAGCGGGAACAGGGGTGTGGGAGAACCGCAGGCAGCTGGTCTAGCAACTGGGGCATCCCCCAGATCCTCCCAGGTTCACCTTCTAGAAGCAGTCCTCTGGTTTCAGCCCAGAAAAGAGACATTTCCCCACTCCATTTGAAAACTGGGTTCAACCCCTCTGCAAGTTCTCCTAAAGACCCAGAGGCCTTGGGAAAGCTCCTAAGCCTTCTTGCTCCAGCCAGGATGCTCCAGCCCTGAGAATCCCCTATAAGTCTAGGGCAG